CTGAACATGTGGGTACTTGTTACCTTGGCAGAAGGTCCTGAACATATTGTTGCCTCTTGAGATTCTGGCAAGTGGCATCCACATACAAAGGCCCTAGAAGGATCTTCATGCACTTCAGTCAAGGATGCTCTTCAACCCCTGTGGTTGTACAGGTCAAATGAATTTGTATATAACATGGTAGCTAAGTAAAACAGTGGAGTGTTACTAGGTAGGAGCTAGAGAGATGACTCAACAGTGAAGAGCACTGCCTACTTTTCCAGGGATCACTTGATGACTCAGAACCATCTGTAATTCCAGTTCTAGGGGATACGATGCACTTTTCTGGCCTCTATAAACACCAGGCAGACATATGGTGTACATACATGCAGGGACACACTACACACATTAAAAGTGTTTTTTAAAAGATTTATCTGACAGAGAAATTCCTTTAGACAGCCTGATGAGGTTGCAAAGCTCAATACTGAGGTAGATGACTGCAAAATGGACTGCCAGAAGGGACAGGCCAAGTGCACTCTGGGAATGTCCTCAGCAGCTTCCCATAGCAAGAGGCTTCTTTCAGGTAATTGGGCTAGGGTGGAGAATGGGAAGCAGAAGACACGGGGGCAGGTTGGAATTTTATATTTTACATTTACTTCTTTGATTATAGCAAGGGTGTCATGCCTTCAAATCCTACTTATTTTATTAAGACATGGTTTTCATCATAAAGATTTTAAGGATTATAACCTAAGAAAAATGAGAGATTACATTTCAGAGTTCCTCTGTGAGTAAATACCATTCTGATGAAACACAGACACTACACTCACACAGGTAAAAGCTGGCTCCATTTAAAAATAAAATCAATATTCGTGGTGTATTTTTTCAAGGCTGAGATGCCCTAGAAGCTCAGTCTGCAAGTCTCTGCCAATGAATCCTTACCCTGTCCTCACTTTCTCTATACTGCAATTCAAATAGCAGTTGTGCAAGTTCAGGCCCACACTGAATGATTCTGAAGGTTTGCCTGCAACTCATGAACAATTCCCACAGCCCCCAAAACCTGCATTTTCCAATGTTCTGAGAAACTACATCTGTTTGGATAGATGTAGCTAAGCACAAACATGAGACACCCTCTCCACTCTCACTTTAGTAATCTACCTCCAACTTCTTGCTTAAAAGTGGACATGTCAAGACTAGAAAAGCCTTAATCTGCCCATATATTTATCTTAGAAAATAAAAATAAAAAAATCCAGAGTATCCAGCATCTTGATACTTGTCAAAATGTTTGTGGTGCTGACAACAAAAGTGGCATAGCTCGTTTCTAAAACAACTCATCAACTGTAAACTGTACATTTAAGAACGGATTTATTAAACCTGCTAGGCAGCCAAACAAATATTGACATGATGTATCATCACAATATGCTCTCAATAACAGCTTTTACATTTTGAATGTGTTTTGCCAGAGAACCAGAGATTTATGTCCAAAACTGGCTCTCTGTTTGTCTGCCAACCTTGGCTCTTATTTTGCATTCAGCAACAAAACCACAACTTTATGCAAAAAAAAAAAAAAAAAAAAAAAATCAGACAATAGAGCCAGAAACCTTTTCAAATGATGACTGTTGCATAAATGAATATTCTCACTGAAAGGGAGTGAGAATGCATACGATAAAATTTTCAAGCCAAGTGTGACCACAGAAGTGGCTGATAACTGTTTGTGAACCCATATGTTGTGTATATTATCCTGCATTCTAAGGAAAGATGATAAGCATGACTCATAGTATGGACCTGGTTGTGTAGACCTTGCTGTCAATTTCACGGTCACCTCAGATAGGTGAGCTGTAGTCTCAGCTTCCTTGGACAGCAAAGTGAAGAAATACACACAATACACACCAAGACAAGCACAGGCATCCATCCACTCCTCCACAGCATAGCTTTGTTGTATTGCAAATGTACACATCTTAGGAAGCATGAGAAAAGGAAACAGGCCTTAACCATATTTTAATACTCATTGTGCCCAGTATTTAACATCCACTTTTTTGCTAACACTGTTCATTTATTAGGCATACTCTGTGAGACATTTGGCACTTACAAGTTGCCAGTTTGCTTCTGAAATAGTGTGTTCCTGCTGTAACAAACAGTGGGGAATGTGGACATCATAATCAAATACTGAGGATGAAACACAAATAATTGAGATGTTCTAAACTTTCATTTATTTCCTTGATTTCTAAGTGTTTGGCAAGTTATCTTTGAAACCCAGTTTCAGCCCTATTTGTCTTGGTCATTGTTCTATTGCTGTGAAGAGACACCATGGCCAAGCCAAATTAGGACTGGCTTACAGTTTCAGAGGTTTAGCTCATTATCATCCAGGAAGAGCAGGGTAGCATGCGGGAGGCATAATGCTGGAGAAGCTGCTGAGAACTACAACTTGACCCACAGGCCAAGACAGTGAGAAGAGTGAGAGAATGAGTGGAAGCAAGAGTCTGGCATGAGCTTTAGAAACCCCAACCTGTGTCACCTTCCTCCCACAAGGCCACGCCTCCTAACTCTTCTTAAATTGTGCCCCTCCCTGGTGACTAATCTTTCAAATATATGAGCCTATTTTTTATTCAAACCATTATATCAGACCTATAAATGTATAATTTGAGACAAGTAATTCTGTGCTTAATAATTGCTACAGCAAAAAAGAAGATGAAGTGGTTAAATTCCTAATTTGACTGGGAAGCAGAGAAATAAGGCTGATAGCTTCAAAGACCATAGGTTTCCTGGACTCATAGATGGGGAAGTTAAGGCAGTAAGCCTAAGAAGAGGACACACACAGGACTAAATAACCTCCGTAGCACAGTACAGCTACAGAAATAAACCATGAAGACAGTAGCAACAGGTGCCTATGGACAAAGAACAGCCCAGGAAGGCCTGTGCTGGCCAGAAAGGCCTATTGTACAGACTGTAGATTCTGATCGAGCAGAACTTGGGCTGGTAGAACTACATACCAGTCACTGTCACTGTTTTTGTATTTATATTTGAGTTCTGAGGCAGACTTGCTGTGCAGCCCAGGCTGCCCTTGGTCTTACAGTCCTATTGCTGGGATTACAGAAGTGTGTCACAAATGGCCAGACTCTATATTCCGTCATTACTATAGCATGTACTGAAATTACGGCATTCATTACCACACATTTTCAGCATGCTGAGGAAGTTGTTTAGCTTTTCTAAATTTATAATTCAATACAAATTAGTATTATGCAGAAAATGGATACTGAAATTTTCTCCAGAATTATATGGAACCCCAAGAGAAAGCCTGGTTCAAAACAAGGTGCAATCTTCCTAATCCTTCTAGGAAGTAGAAATCACTTAACATGGTTTTAACAAGTTATATATTAAACTATTCTTAACAAAGTTCAACAGACTTTCACCATTTTTTCCTAAATTTATGTGTATGGAAGTGTTTTTTGCACATATGTGCACATGAGTGCAGTGTCCACAGAGGCCAGAAGGGGCACTGAATTCTATGGAACTGGAGTTACAGATGGTTGAGATACTGTGTGGGTACTGGGAACAAAACCTTGGTCCTCTACAAGAGTGACAGATGCTCTTAACCACTGAGCAATCTGTCCAAAGGATTTTAAAGATAAGTCAGCTGTGCACATAATTTTACCTAGCTTTATAAATAGCCTTGGGAACAGTAATCATCTAGAATTACTCCTTTATATTAATGCTTCCAATTTATAAATGTTTGGAGTCTCTTCAAAGACATATGGTAGCTTAAAATGTTTTACATTTGTGTACATATAAATATACATGTGTCACAGTGTGGATATGGAGGTTGGTTCTGCCATGCAGGTCCCAGGGATGAACTCAAGTTTTTGCAAGCAAGCACCTTTATTGGCTGAGCCAATCCCCTCAGAGTCCCTTCAATTTACTTGTCTTTCCAATAAAAACCAAAGCTAAGACATAAAGTGCCTACCTGTACACTGACTTGAAATGTAAAGACCATTTTCTCAGTAGTGACCAACTGCCAGCATCTTTGCACCCTGTCACACTACTACAGAATCAAGCGGCTTAAAGAACTACCTGAGATTCCAGGGTCCTTTGACCTCAGCCTGCAGTTCTGCTCTCTAGGGTGGAAAGGCTGTCCTGTGCTAACCCTCAAGAAGCACAGAAAGTCACCAGACCTCCCTACAGAGCTTCTCATGCTTATGGATCAGACACAGTTGGAACCCAAGTGATAGTTTCAGAACCACACTTCCAATTTCCTAGTTCACTCTTGTCACTACCACAGCTTGGACCTCCTGAAGTTCTCTTCTGTATAATGGATTGACATTTAGAAATAGTAATTTATTTTTTATGACTTATAAATTTTTATCATCTCCATTTTTTTAAATACTGTTAATAAACTGGCTCAATAGGTATGTTGGTTATTAAGTCTGATATTAAAATAAGGATAGTCATGGTTTATAACAAAATGTATTTCCCTAAAGTATTAATTATGGACATTTAAATACAATACCTAAAGTGCTCTGCATAAAGAACTTATAGAACCCATTTATTTAATAACAAATCATCTAGTTTTTGAGTAAAATATTTTTAAGACTATGTATTTTCAAATCAAAGGACAGGTGTGTTAGGCAACTCCTTTTACATTGCGGACTGTATAAACATTGCAGACAGCATGTAGATTTTTTTGTGCTAAGGGCAGAATGAAAGAAAATAACAACAACAAAAATTAGGCAATTAAGTGTTTAAACATTTCTGGTTAGCACAAGCTTCAAATTACAAGGAATAGGGTCTCTGGGCACTACTTCTATAAAAATAAAATCCCAGAAAACATGAACTGCATATTGCTGCATAATTCAGAACCTTAGCACATACTTTGCCAACCTGTGGACAATGACTATTCCTTCATTTACTAACATAACCCTTCAGATGCTGACTATATTAATTTCTTACAAATCTCCCCCTCAGTGAACCAAGGTCCTGTAATAGGGAATACATGAGACACGAAACAAAATAGGTCCTCAAGACATTACTCATGAATTCAGTCAATATTTATTGAAAACTTGTATTTCTAGCTCTAGGGAGCATGTGGCAGACCCTCACCTCCAAAGACCTCACCCACTAAAGCAGAGCAGCCCAGCTCTTACTTAGTCACTGTCAGCATTTAATTCATCCTGCAAGATATGCCAAGACATGGATTTCTTCTATAGGGACAAATAAAATCGTTTATAAATTTATAACTGTGGGATAGGGTATTGGCTCACATCAGGGTGTCCATGTAAGGTCAGAGGATAACTGTGATTTGGTCTCTTTCCACATGGATTTGATTTGGGGAACTGAACTTACTCACTCACTGTCAGGCTAGCAAAGCTTTGCTGAGCTGAGACGCCACATCACATCCCAGGCCCTGAAATCTTTCTGTAGACTGCTGTGGGGTGTTGTGAAATATGTATGTAGTTGCCTTTTGACCCTGTGGCCAGCACTCTTCCCTTTCACACTTCTCCAACCCTATTGCACTTCTCTGACTTCTCCTGTGACACTGTCAGTTCCTGCCAGGACACACTTGATTTCAGAAGATCACCGTGTCAAAGCTATTTGGTGTTAAGATAGCAACTTTACACACATAAAGGTAATATTCCATAATTTAATTCAGCCTTTGTACAAAATTTAACTGTTCACAGAAATAACCATTAACTTCATCACAAAGGATATAATTTAAAATCTAAATATGGGCCTGCAGCTGAGATGCTGTCAAGCCAACTGCCTTTATGATCAATTATCTGTTAAATCCTAAAATTAGAAGTACATCCAATACAGTGTATTTTGATTTTCCAAATGTTCCTGAAAAGAATTAGACTCATCCTCTGGTTCTGTTGTTGGTGGTTCTGTTTGTTTGTTTAAAGCACAGTCCATTTGTCACAGAAGTACCCTCTTCTTCTGGTGAGGCAGCAGTGGCGAGGCAACCACTGTGTGACCTACGGTTGGTACCCTCCACTCAATGGCATTCTCTCTTCCCATGAACAAAATGAACAAGAAGGAACGAGAGTCACCTTTCCTTGTCTCATAAATTCTTGGTGCTTTCATTGTACCATGAATGCCTGATTTCAACCATACAGCAACAACAAACACCAGTACTTATTCTGAAAGGCCCTGTATTCCAAGAAGCAGACATTAGCAACTTCCAACTCGGTCTCTAGGAATGATTCGCAGCTCTGAGCCATGTTTCAGAAAAACATTTCCTATACGAACAAACAAAGACACAAAGTTAGGTGTCTAAAGAGGACAATATTAGCATCCTAGCAAATGATTCATTAAAGGAGGGAGGAAGCCCCAGCATCCTCTGAGCTGGTACCCATTCTTCAGATCCCTGCCCCCATCCCTCCTCTAGTCTCACAGAATGACACAGTGCTTAAACATGAAGGTACACCAGCCACTGTCATGCCAGCAAATGCAGTAACATCAAAACATGGTGACACCAGCACAAAAACAGTAAATCCAAGGTCAGAGAAGACCACTGAGGTACTGTGATATTCAAGTTGGAGCCCCTGGGGAGATTATAATCAAGCTCGGTGATGGACATGATTCAAGTAAAAGGTAACATAAAGGGCAGCATGTAAGAGTAATTAAATTAATCAAATTAATATAAGCTAACAAAACTTCGAGAATCAAAACAGACAAAACCATCTCCTCCTATATCATATAGGATATTTATATAATACAGTGCCTCAATTTTAAATAAACATTTCAATTTAAAGTATATACTCAAGATCATTATGGTAACAAAAATCTGCAAGTGTAAATCACTTTTCATTTTCTAGAATTGTGACTATCACTAGTGGCCTACAAAGACAATAAAGTTTTTATAATCAAAATCTTCCAAACACTTGTTTAAAAGCCAAGTATTGTTCAAGAATGAGGCTATATTATACTAAACAGTACAGCTTTAAAGCGTTATGGTTAGAATATCAGCCAGAGGACACATCTTAATAAATACACTCTTCCCCCCCCCCCCCACCCAGTTTAAGAGTGCTTTTACTAAAGTTCAAGACACATTTACCCTACCTGCTGGTCAGGATGTCAATGTCTCATGCTAAGCTATGTTCACAATTTGAGCATTAGTGAGAACTTAGTCTCTGAAATGTCAGTGGCTATAGCTGTTTAAAGGAATGATGGCTAGCATTCCTACTGGCACTTCCTGGATGCTAACCATGGAATACCCAGACTTTAAGCAACTCACTGACTACCTCACAATTAAAGTTAAGGGGAGGGTCAGTCATTTACCTTGCAACACAATCTTACCTCCAGATTTCTTTGTTATACATATTAATTAAATACTTTCAATTCCTAAACCATTATTAATCAAGCTTGCATTCACTTGTGAAAAGCATAGAAAATTAATATATATAAATGAAACCAATTGTCACTGAGATACAAGTAGACTGCTACATAAGCTCTACATAGCTATGTCTTCTGAAAAATCATATCTAATTGAAATAAATAAAATATCAAGCTCTAATGGACACACAGGCAGACACTCACCGGCAGTCTGTGCTGGATTTATTCCTATTCCATCTAGAAAATAAATTGTAAATCATGTAAATTCTCCCTAAAGCTAAAACAATTTAAATAGTAACAAAGATTTGCCAGACTAGTGCTCCTATGGGTACAGGCAAAGGCTGAGCAACTTCAATCACAGAACACAACAAGTCTCTCAGATGACTTCCCATGGTATATGTTTATAAGTACTGCCAGATGAGACAAAACAGCCTAAGTACAATGATTCTCATATGTTCTATAGAAGATGGTGTTTTTCATCTTATGTAATAAACAGTGTCATTTCTTGTTTAAGCAACAAACATCTTATGTATGCCACAGTCTTTTCCACTGCTGGTGGCATACAATCTCCAAGACAAGAGAGGACAAGTCATTTCATTCATGCCCTAGTGACACTCTGCATGTCTGAAACATTTCTACTGGAAAATCTATAACTATCAGAAAGTTGGCCAGTTTTCTTCAGTGTGACAACACACAGTGTATCAGAGTAGCAAATCCAATCATACCTAAGGTACACTGAGCTACTCCATTTGAACCCTTCAACTGGGGAGAGCTACCTGCATGGAACGTTTATTCATTAATTAACATAGAAGATGGACAAGTGCTCCTCACAGCTCACTTACTGCTTTCCCTGGAATTTGTTCCAGGGTTCCAAGGTATCTAAACTGAACAACACTGCATGTCTGTAAACCAGTTTCCTATTAGCACAGTTAAGGTATAGGGAAGTCACATTCCTGCTCAACCTTCTATACGCTAAAGCACTTTCTGATACAACCATATATATATGTAAACCTTGCCAGAATAGAGGAAGAGATAAGGGCACTAGATACTGTGAAGCTTCCTAATCTAAGGCAGAGAATGAGCCGAGTTCATTCCATGCAGTGGCCTCCATGCAGAGTTTACCATTAAGTGCAACGTCTATGTTAACATACACAGGGGCTTTGGGATTCAAGTCATACTGTTTCCAGCATTTACGATTTAAGGAGAACTCTTACCATTAGTAATAATCGCACTTGTTGCTGCAGGAACTTTAAACTAAAAGGAAGAAAAGAAAAACCATATCGATACATTTTCATGGACCCATGAAAGACAGAATGAGGATGGAGCTCCTATGATCAACTCTATAATTCTAAAATACAACAGTCTTTTAGAAAGAAACAACAGCAAAAAAGCAGGGTTACTAGATATACAGTGCAGAATCACAGCTTGGGTTAGATGGTATGCTCGCAGCCCAGGGACTGAGGGTAAGGGTGGGGGGACAACAAGAAATAACAGAGGTCTCCCAAATTATATTCTGGTGCCAACTGGCCCAGATCGACCTACACTTCCAAGGGTTGTGCCCAGAGATGTTTTATAAACAATTCTGATAATTGTAGGTAGGAAACTCTCATTTCTTAAAAACCGAAAATGCCAATGTGTGTGTTTTTTAAAACTAGACCTTTTTTCAAAACAACTAATTTTTACCGAAAGTACACCCAGTAAGGTTAATATAAGGTCAGCTCTTTACAACATAACTTATATGTCTCTGGTACATTCAGTACCAATACAATTCTCACACTTTTCATCTGCTCAATTAAACAGATGTGTCAATTTGTTCAACTTACTGTTTTCTAATGAGAAGATAGAGTAACTTCAACTGAGCTTGTGATGCTATAGCAGCAGCCCAGCATCAAACAACAGGGAAATGGGATTGGAAGGGGGGGGCACAGTGCATGCAAATACACAAAAGACAAAAAAACAAAAACAAGCCAGACTGTATCCATAAGGTCACTGTTAGAATTCACACTTACTTCTTCTGCTGCAAACTTTAACACTGCTGTGAATGGTGTACTTTCAGGAACACTGAGACTGCAACAAATAAAAATTAATTTAAAGAATTTCAAAGTTTACTTCATTGCAAATGAGAGAATTTTTTTTTTTTTTTTTTTTTTTGGAGTTTTAAGGTTGGCTGTTTTCATGGCAGCATTATGTGCACTAGTGCCCACAAGACACTAGAAATGCAGACTCTGACTATGGTGCAGCTGGGACAATCTATGAGGCCACTGCCAGTGGCTCCGAGATCTAACACTAATGCACAAACTGACTTAGTGGAGCCCATTCTGTATGGAGACATACCTTGCCCAGCCTAGACACAGGTGTATGGCAGGTGGAAAGGTGCCTTGGTCCTGCCTCAACTAGATGATGGAACAGACTTAGTAGACTTCCTATGGGAGGGAGCAGATGAGGAGTGGGGAGTGGAGGGAGATGGAGGAAATGAGGGAGGGGGAACTGGGATTAGAATGTAAAAACAATAATTTTAAAAAAGAGAGGAAAAAAGAAAAGAGTCAAGACAAGGGACCAAGGCTCTGTATGAAAACCAACAATCTGCAAGCAGAGTTCTGTCTTTTCTCTTTCTTATTTATGTGTGTTTAAGGTTTATTACAATTTATGTTTATGTGCTTGGGTTTATGTATGTATGTATGTGTATAGGTGACCATAGAGGCCAACAGAAGGTATTGGACCCTTTGTAACTAAACTTACAGCCAGATGTGAGCCATCATAAAGTGCTAGGAATCAAACCTGAATCCTCTGCAAAAGCAACCAGTGCTCTTAAACCCCGAGCCACACTTCCACCCAGTAAGTGTAGCATAGAGGCAGATGTTTAATAAGATACTTTTCTTTTTTTTAAAGGCAGGGTCTCAGGCTGATGTCAAACTCAGAGAGCTCAGCTTGCCTGCCTTCCAAATGCTGGGATTAAAGGTGGTGCCAGTGTGCCAGTGTGAGATGGCTATCAGCAAGGTCAACCTCTGCCTGGTCCTCCATCTACCTTAATGCACCTCAAAGTTTCTAAAAAAGAAAAATAAAAACAAAACAAAACAGACCTCTCCAGCAGAGAAAAACAAAACGCTAGCATCTCTCTTTAAGCTTTTCTATTTGCCATCGCATATCCCACTAATGGCTTAATGTCAGCTACTGTCACAGAACTTTCTTAGGTCTAAGCTTAGACTCCTCTTCCACAGTGTCTGAATATAAAGGTCATACCATATTGTACTGACTTTCAAAAGAGAAGTGCAAATGATTTTTTTTCCAGGGGGTGCTGTCATTTTTCCTCCAAATGTTATTTAATAATTAAAATTTGTATCACTGTTTTCCTTTCTTTCATTTCCTCTCTGGGGGAGTAGTGGGACAGAGAATAAAAAGAAAATTCTAATAGTCCTAATAGTCACTTGTTTAAAGTTTTTTAGTATGTTTGGGATGGGAAGTTTATCCAGTTTTCAGTAGTATTTTACAAATACCCATGTAGAAGATCAACAGGCTACACCTGCACACACATCCACATAGGCATTAAACAAACACAACACTGAACAGTTAATAAAAATGTATTCAGCTGCAATGTACTGACTGGAATGATCCAATGCTGCAGGAGCTCTGATACTGGCATTGTCCGACTGACTGTCCTTTCCCCCTTCCTACTCCTCATTCTTTCCTGAGTACATTTACACACTGCTGAGCATAATCCAGTACAGAGGGAGAAAAAGGACCAGAGAAAGGTGCCCTGCCTTCACCTACCTAAATCCTGAGCAGACCAAAACAGGCTGACTTTAGGAACAGGCTTTACAACAGTAGCTATGTTCTTTATGGCAAAGGTATGGGAGATGTTTGTGGGTACTGCATAAAAATGAGAACACTCCTCTCACTTCTTTTCATCGAGGGGAAAAGGAGTTGTGGACATTTTGTAATAAAACAAAAATACTTTCTGGAAATAAAAAAATGAGCAATTTTGGGGAAATGTTAGTCCTAACTATTTTTTGTTTTTGTTTTTTGTTTTTTTCCTTCATAAAACTCATCAATGCTATTTTCTTCAGGAACAGAGTCAAATGCAAAGAACATAAACGGTTGAATTTGCACCTGGTGCTTCACCAAGCAAAACAGATCAAAGAGAGGTGCCCATCAGATTCTAGGGTATTTGCCAGAGAGTCATTTTAAAAAAGGCAGAACATAGACTTTCATCTCCATAAGAAATGAATGAGCATGGCACCGGGGCGGGGCAGAGTGACAGACTGAAAAGCAGCTTGACAAATGATTAAAAGAAGATTTGTGGAAGTGATACTGTAGTAAATCACCTGGAAGAAGAAGGTGTGGGTATCTGAATAAAGGACAGTTCGGAAAAAGAGCAATTACTGGAAAGTGAGGGGTAAGGAGATCATTTTAGAGATGGAAAGGTAAGGGAACAACAGGGCGAGAAGCTGAATAAGTCACAGGTGGGAAGTCACAAAAAGCGATGACAGCTGCTATCAGATGAGTTAGCTTGATTTCCGTGCCACTACATAAACAGTGCATAGACTCTTATGGAAATTTTGCCAGTTAGCATAGGTCTTCCAGCTGCAGTTACCCAAAAGGGGGATGTATATTTAAAAATCATAAGGAAATTGAGATAGGTAACCGGTGTTAACCACCAACTCAATTGCTCAAGCAGAAAGAGCTCAACAAGTATACAGCCCCCTCCCCAGCCCTCACCATTGCCCAGTCGTGCTAAGCTAAGCACTTTTTTTTTTTTATTAAGATCTAACTGTGTGCGACTTGCGGTTCATCACTAAGGCACCCAGTTGTTGAATCATATACACAACACAACAAAACAAAAAATCTGAAGTCAACAGTGTTAAATTCGGACCTGTCAAGAGTCTAGGCTTAGGAAGTCTTCTCTAACTTCTAACTTCCGGTAACAGCTGGCACCGGTGGTTAAAGGCTTTTAAACCACGTAAAAAGGGACTGGTGTAGTAACGTGTTAACCTTGTCCACAGCTCTTCCCGTTGCACCTACCCACCCCGTGCATTCCGAAGAGTGCTAGCTTCTCAGCAGAAATGCTGCGTCCCTTTTCCTGCACCCTCCTGCCCCGCCAGGCCCGGCCGGCTGCAGCCCGGCCTGTCACTCACACTTTATACGGGAGCCGAGGGTCCGACGTCAGCGTGATTTTAAAAGACACCTTCGACCTGAGGGAGAGAACGACAGGATGTTATGGTCAGGTCGGGCCGGGCCAGGGCCGGGGCGGAGGCAAAGACACTTACATGGTGGAGCCGCCGCACACACACACACACCGCGCCTAGTCGCCCGCCACGCTTCCTCGATGGCTGGCAGCGGGGGCCTTCGGGGCCCACGTCGCCCTCTGGTGAGGCTATCTACGGAGCGCCTGAAGAAACGTACAGGCACACCCAGGCCGCAGAAGAGAACTAGACGAAAGTCAGCAATTTGTTCTGAGTGTGTGTACACAAGGATGTAGCATAAATGCTAGGTGAAGAATATGCTTCTATTTTTGATTGTTTGTTAACAAATTTTTAGTCAGGCAGTACAATGGATGTCAAAGAGGGTAGCCTCTAGGCCCCCCCACTGGCTGCTCAGGGAGGAAGTGAGGATGTTAGGAAGCCGTACGTGGCAGCGGAACTGGGGGCGGGACTCCTGGGGCAGAGCGTTTGAGGAAGCGTTGAGGAGTTGCTAAGCAACCACCGGCGTGAGCTGATTGATGCTAGAGAAGCTGGATTCAACCGCTTTAATTAACAGTATTCTTTGATATTTCTAACATTCCTGTTAATACGATTTACATTCCTTATCGTTTTATCTTTTTAGTTCTCATTTTGCTACCGGCTTATTAGTAATTTCAAAGGAATATAATTATGCTGAGATGTTTTTGTTAGGGCCCAGAAGAAAAATCATTATCCCAGGACTAGGTTTTGGAGTTGGAAATACTACTCATCAGTACATCCCAGTAGTTTTTGATGTGGTCAAATAGAATTTAACTCGGGTATAAGGTTTCCGATCAAGTATTATTCAGCTCACCTTGAGTCCCTATGTTTATCAGGCACAGAAACAAAGGTTGAGGCTCCTTTGTTAACCAGAGACCAGACTAAAGGCTGTGATCCCAGGGTAATAAAACACGTGTGTGGCAGTCCTTTAGAATCTATTAGTGGGTTGTATTTCTATAAGGAGTGGGGACTGCTGTCTCTAATCTTTATCACAATGGATGCACCATGGTAAAATAGGCATTCTATCTCACAATGACCATTCCTCTTTTAAAAATATTATTTTACATCCCGAATACAGTTTCTTCTCTCTCCACTCCTCCCATTCTCCCCCACCAGGCCTCCTCTCCCCTCTTCCACAATCCACTCCTCTGTTTCTGTTCAGAAAGGGGCAGGCCTTCCATGGGTCCCAACAAAGAATGGCATATCAAGTTGCAGTAAGACTAAACACCTCCTCTTTTTTTTTTAGACTGGGCGAGGCAATCCAGGATGAAGAATAAGTTTCCAAGGGACAGCCCCTGATATCATTGTTAGTAGCCCCACAACTAGACCAAGCTACACAACTGTCACATATATGTAGAGGGCTCAGGTCAGTCCCATGCAGGCTTCCCTGTTGTCAGTTCATACTTTGTGAGTTTCTATAAGTCAGGTTAGTTGTTCCTGCTGGCTTTGGCCACCCCCATATTTGACTTCAAATTCTAGTCCTCTTCTTCAACTGCTTCCCTCCACCTGCTCTATTCATCCATCTCTTGTCCCCCACTTGGTAAGTGTTCTTTCTTGGTCTCTTGGTCCTTGACTCTTCTCTTGGATTACTTACCCCTCCCCTTTCTAGTCTCATAGCCCTATTTAGTCTGGGTCATTCCAGGTGTCTCTGACTGAACTTGTAAGACCCTCAGAATGAGGAGTCTTCCAGGTTTGGTCAATACCCCAAGAACTCAATGTCCAGTCCAGTTGCTGCAAAAAACGCAAGAGGTTTTAATGAACAGGAAACGTTTGCGCAAACAGGCTCCTCCAGCACACAGGCTAGAGAGAAGCTCCCTCCCCTGGGCACAGGTATTTTTAAAGGCAAACCCACTAGCTTAGGGAGGGGGTGGGACCCTTGGAGGCCGGATGGTCTTGCTATTAGGGTCAGCAGACCTTAGGGCCTCAGGTGTGTTAATTAATCTTGTCTGGGCAAACCAGAGTTACAGCTATCTCTTGACCCTATTTACCACCTGTTGACTCACAGGAAAGGAGGGGCAGTGTGAATTCTTCTTATCTCAGGGCCTTGTGAGAGGAAGCTAGCAAATTCCAAGGAACAGATATTAGTTTCCAGGTTAGTCCATCATTAACATTACTTTTTAGGTATTTCAAACTCTCCTTCACATCTACAATAAAACCCTTCTCTTTAACCATACCTAGGAGTGGTCATGTCTTCATTTTCAGTCAGTTTTCAAAAGGTACTGAAAAACTGTTTAGAACTGTTTCCCAGGTTAATTCCTTCATACTCACATCATGTGTTTGTATCCTCAGAATGGTCATCTCTAGAGTCATATGAGTTTCCCCTTGATACCGAAAAGGATATTATAGACCCATCTACATTCAAGTTTTTGTTTTTTAATACTTTTATCAATCCACTTTCAATTGACAAATTAGGGACCATTTAATTTGTTGAAAATTTAAAATGCTAAAGTATCTTTAATGAGTATAAACAAAAGCAGACTCTGAAGCAAATTTTAAGAGATACTTGGAAATGTAGTGTTTTAAGACAACAGACATTATAAATGGCCTAATGAGTTCTGGAAGAGACCCAATTAGTGTCACAGGGAGCCATAAATGACTGCAGAAGTAAACAGTGTGACCACACTACATCTCATTAAAGGCCAACAAAACATAGCAATGCTGTATTTGAAAGAGCATAGAAAATCATCCTTATTAGAAAAGAACCAAGAACCAGTGGTGGATGTCTGAGACACACAGAAAGCCTGAATCCAAGGGTTCAGTCCCCAGCACACATACAGCAACAATGACAGCAGCAGCAGCAACAACAATCACAGGATCAGGATGGAATTAAATTCACATTGCTAAAAAGAACATAGGCATGAGTAGAAGAAATGTGAGAGGGCAATTCTAGAAGATAGCCAAAGTCCGGTTGCTGTTTGTACCACCTGACAAACTATAGTAAAACTCTGGTCCCAGCTTTCATGATAAAGCTTCAATTAAAACAAAACAAAACAAACAAAAATAAGCCTAGTATGATGGTGAAGACCTTTAATTCTAATACTCCAGAAGTAAAGGGAGGCAGTGGGAGGACGAGGGAGGAGGCAGAGGGAGGTGAATCTTTCTGATTGCTCTGCAAAGCAAGTTCCAGGACTGTCAGGGATACCCAGAGAAACCCTGTCTCAAAAAACATACTAACAAACAAAACAGCAACCAAAAACAAACAAACAAAATCCCCAACCCCCAAAAACAAGCAAACAAACAAAAAACAAAACAAAAACAACAAAAAACCAAAACAAAGCAAAAAAAATAAAAAAATAAAAACAAGTAACAACCAGAATATCTTAGGTGACAGACCACCATGTCAATGCTAAGATCTCATGCAGAAAACTCATGCAGATGGAAGATTCCATCTGCAGGTTGATCCTCTGCTGTAACAGAGTGGTGAATACCAACAGAGGTTGGTATGTTGGTCTTGAGAGCTGCATGGGAGATTCCTTAGTTTAGGAGGCCACACAAAGTTTTGGACTCCTTTATCAGGAGCTTCCTGAACTCTGACAACCCACAGGTATTCTCAGTCAAGTCAACTTTCCTGACCAGAGTTTCTCAGCCTACCTGAGGCCTTCAGGTCATTAATTCTTTATTAAGTTTCTCTCACCTCAATAATCCACTACAGCTTATCAGGCTAGTATAATCATCAAGATCACCTTTCTATCAATTACATGAGGTACTTACCTTTCTATCAATTATGTGAGGTACTTTGCATAAGGGAGATCACAAAACATGGACTTTACCTGGGATTATCCAAGACAGAAAGTTACAACTGTGAGACAGTAGAGGGAGAATGACTTCCCTCTCACAGATACCCCAGGTGCTCTACTGAGACATTATCTGAGAACCCAACAGTCTTCCAGGGATTAGGACTTCTTACCTAGGAAGGGGAGAACATCAAACAAGATAATGATGGCCAAATGACTCCCTACCCCCTTCCCTAATTTTTGCCTAAAAATCAGACTGCCTGAAGATTTGCTCTGCTCAGGGACTGGAAGTTAAACAAATTTTCTGTAGGCAGATGGATAGGGGAGAGGGGCCATGACTAGTGTTCTGGTGGAAGCTGCATCTCAGTCCCTGGCATCTATATACCCAAAGAGTCTGGAATATTCTGGTGGGAGTTCTACCTCAATACCCTCCCCCATCTTTCCCTCCCCAAACGCTGCCCCATCCCAGAAAGTCAGGCAAACAGCCTCCTCCCCTGCCAGAGATGCTCAAGACCACTCCCACAGGGTATTTAAATTGCCGCCCCCTCAGGAAACAGACGTATGGTTTTTTTTTTTTTTTTTTTTTTTGTCTCTTTTTCAGTCTCCCCTCTGGGGGGCTATAAAGTCATCCAGGAACATTTTACCCATTCAACTCAATGTGGGCCTTTTGTAATTCAGTTTGGGATGATTTGGATTGCTGTGTCAGTGGAAAGGCTTAGCTGGGTGCAGAAGCTTTTCAACTAGGTAATAAAGATGGTGAATTTCCAAGATGGCTGGCTTTGTCCCCTCTTGATCTGAGACAAAAGCTTGTCACATTAAAAACAAAGGCACTGAAAGACAAAAACAAGTAAAGTTAAAGACCTCCCCCCCCCCACTTGAAATGAAGGACTAACCTGGAAACCAATATCTGTTCCTTGGAATTTGCTAACTTCCCCTCACAAGACCCTGAGATAACAAGAATTCACACTGCCCCTCCTTTCTTGTGAGTCAGCAGGTGGTGAATAGAGTCCTTAGGAAATAAAGAAATAGCTACAACTCTGGTTTGCCCAGATAAAATTAATTAGCACACCCTGAGGCCCTAAGGTCTGTTGATCCTAATAGCAGACCATCCGGTCTCAAAGGGTCATGCACTCAATGGACAGAGGGTCCCACCCCCTCCCTAAGCTTGTGGGTTTGCCTCTAAAAACACCTGGGTCCGGGGGAGGGGCTTCTCTCTAGCCTGTGTGCTGGAGGAGCCAGTTTGCGCAAACGTTTCCTGTTCATTAAAGCCTCTTGCGTTTTTTGCAGCAACTGGACTGGACATTGAGTTCTTGGGGTATCAACCGAACCTGGGAGACTCCTCATTCTGAGGGTCTTACATTTTGGAGGTCCCACCGAGATCTGGTCGACCCCCAGACTCAATTCCATTGCCAGCTGG